GCATATGATCCTGGCGTATACGCACAAATTGCTGCAGATGCAATTAAGGCATGGAAGACTTTACAAGGACATGGAGGTTTACAAGGTCAATTATCTAAGGTAATACAAGGAGCCATAATAACCATCCAGATGAGGATGTAGCTCGGTGGTAAAGTGCCCCTGGATTCAATCCCCAATGCCAGAAAGAAAAAAAAAATCCATCTAATATGTGATTAATTAATTTATTTATTTATTACCAGCTACAGATGAAAGAATGTATCATATGTAGTATAAACTATGAGAATGAACTATAACTTTATGAAACAATATCTATGTTTCATAAAACACATTGAGTGGAAAAAAGTAGATTCCTGAAGATTACACACAGTATCAAACAATTTATGTAAATCTCAAAAACAAGTGAAAAATATGTATGTGGGGAAACACTAATGATTTTTATATGAAAAAGCAAGAGCAAAGGTATTTAGAATGGTTACCTTTTGAGTGAAATGTAAGCTATATTATCTCCCCAACCAAACCCGCTTTTCCATTCACTGAGGCCATTCTTATTCTGGCCACCAGGGGGCATCCACAGAGTTGATTATTTTTGCTTGGTGTTGTCCTTCATGGTTTACCACTTCCAGATAAAAGAAGAGAGTTGCTTGATTTATTGGGTAAACTTTCTAAAAAGCTATTTAATTTTTTTTGTTGTTGTTTTGTTTCTGGTCTCTACATCAAATCTTTCTTCTTATCCTTCCCTCTGATTTTCTCTCGCCCACATACATGTTCCTAAGAGGTTCTCTAAGCTTAGCAAAGCAGTCTTTCACACACTGTTTCTCTCAGGATAACTGTCTTCAATTTTTTTTTCTTTTTTTTGCATAAGAGCTAGGAGTTTACTCATGCCTCTTGTTGTTTGAACATCCACCACTGGAAGAATCATGGCACAACACAGTGACTCCAGAAACCTCAGCTCACTCTTTTTAGTGAATTAATCAGATGGTCAAGAATTAAAATGGGAGGATCAAGTTCAAGTCTAGTCTCAGCAACTTAGTAAGGTCCTAAGTAACTTAGTAAGACTCTGTTTAAAAATTAAAAACAAACAAACAAACAAACAAAAAAAAAAACGAAGAGTGGAACATGGTGGAGCACACCTGTAATTCCAGTGACTGGGGGGGGGGGGGGTTAAGGCAAGAGGATTGCCAAGTTCAAGGCCAGTCTCAGCAACTCAGCAAAGCCCTAAGCAACTTAGTGAGAGCCTGTCTCAAAATAAATAAAATTAAAAGGGCTGGGGGTGTAGCACAGCCATCTTCAAGAGAAGCCATTTTTTTCTTGGAGTCAATCTATTGCTGTTCCTTTACTGTCAGTCAAAAGTCAAAAGATGACCCTGAGTGGGACCCTGGACACTTCCAAGGAACCCCCAATAGAATTGGAGGACAGGAGGGGTGTGCTATTTCTCTTTGAGAGGACCCCTGTCTCCCTTGAGAATGTCCCATTTTCTCCAAAGCTATTAGAAACAAGGCTTGGCTGTTAAAAGAGCAATTACCCTGGAAATTTTTTTTTTCTTTTTTGTTGGTAGAGGGGATTAATCTCAGGAGTGCTCTGCCACTGAGCCACATCCCTAGTCCTTTTTATTTTGAGGCAGAGTCTTTAAGTTGCTCAGGTTGTCCTCAAACTTATAATCTTCTTGCCTTAGCTTCCTGAGTTGCTAGGTGCAGGACTATGAGTTTTTGTTTATTTGTTTGTTTGTTTTTTGTTTTAGTTGTAGATGGACACAATAACTTATTTATTTATTTATTTTTAATGTGGTGCTAAGGATCAAACCCAGTGCCTCATACATGCAAGGCAAGGGCTCTACCACTGAGCTACAACCCCAGCCCAGGCCTGTGGGTTTTTGACCCACAATGTGGTGTGACAATAATATTACCATGCTGTTTTTTCTATATGGCTCAGAACCAGGCTTTGAAGATGCCAACTGAAGTCCAAACTTGTGTTGAATGATGAAATAAGTGCTTTGTTTTCCTGAGGACTATGTTGGAGGGAAAAAACTTATGCCTCATTGCTTTGTTCTCACACCTCTTCTATCTGTGGAGAAATATACTGTTGGTTTTACCTAGTGATTTGGAGGTCTGAAAGAATGTGCAGGTGGGAATCTGTGGAGTCTCCCTCAGAAGGGAATAAAGGAGACTTCGGATGGGAATTTGATCCACCCATTGCTTTGAGCTCATGGGCTCTTATTTTAATCATGAAGCCTTCTTTGGTTTTAAGTGGAAAGGAATTTGAGAACAAAATTTGTTTGTAGGGTTAAGGATATAACTCAGTGGAAGAGAGCTTGCCTAGTAGTCATAGGGCCCTATGTTTTTCTCCCAGCACCACAACACACATGAATTGGTTTGTTCTTAAAATTCCTTGTGCTTATGCGCAGGCTGTTCTGAGAAGTCAAATTAGATTGATCCCAGCAGGGCTTTACCACTGAGTACATCCCTGGCCCATTTTTAAAACTTTATTTTGAGCCTGATGCAGTGGTGCATGCCTATAATCCCAGTGGCTTGGGAGGCTGAGGCAGAAGGATCACAAGTTCAAGACCAGCCTCTGCAATTTAGCAAGACCCTGTCTCAAAATAAAAAATAAACAGGGCTGGGGATGTGGCTCAGTGATTAAGCAGCTCAGTGGTTAAGCACCCCTGGATTCAATCCCTGGTATCAAAAACAAACAAACAAAATCCCTAAAAGCCTTTATGTTGAGACAGGGTTTCACTAAATTGCCCAGGCTGGTCTTGAATTTGCAGTTAAACCTCCTGCCTCAGCCTCCTGAGTGACTAGGATTACAGGTGTGTGTCAGCATGCCTAATAAAGAAGAAAAAAATAGCCAAAGATAAATAGATGGCAAATAAGCATATACAAAAACACTCAATATAAAACATCATTAAGGAAATGCAAAATAAAATAGTGATGAGATACCAGTATATACACTCATTACTATGGTTAAAATCCCAAACATAGACAATACCAAATCCTGACAAGGATGTATAGCCACAGGAACATTCATTCATTGCTGGTGGGAATACAAAATTGTACAGTCTCTCTAGTTTTTTCATAAAATTAAAGTTTTACTATATGATTCAGTCATTACTCTCCTATTTACCTAAAAGAGTTGAGAACTTACATCTATACAAAAACCTTCATCAATGCTTATAAGCAGTTTTAGTTATAATTGCCCCAAATTGGAAGTGACCAAGGTAGTCTTTAATAGTTGAATGGATAAACAATGGTATACCCATATAAATGGAATGTATTCTATGCTAAATAGAAATAAACTACACTAAGCTAGAAAAACATATTGCTAGGGGAAAGAAATCAATCTGAAAAGGCGACATACTATGGGATTCCAACTATATAACATTCTAGAAATGGCAACTCTAGAGACAATGGTTGCCTGAGGTTGGGAAGGGTTGGAGGGAAGAATGGATAGGTGGAGTGTAGGAGATTATTAGAGCAGCAAGACGATTCTGTTTGATATGATAGTAGGGGATATGTGACATTATACATTTGGCAAAACCCATAGAACTGTAAACAAAAACCTCACAGCTGCTTATAGGGGCAACTGGTTGGGGGAGAATGAGTATATAGTATATATACTAGAATATATAGTATATATTTTATGTTCATTTTTTTGTAAATCTAAAAATCACTCTAATAAATACTTTATTAATAATTAAAATAACAAAATTACAGAATCACTGGGTATATATTTCTATTTACTGTTTTTTGTTTTTTTTTTGGTACCAGGGATTGAACCCAGGGGCACTTAATCACTGAGCCTCATCCCTAGCCCCTATTTTGTATTTTATTTAGAGACAGAGTCTCAGTGAGTTTCTTAGCACCTCACCGTTGCTGAGGCTGGCTTTGAACTTGCGATCCTCCTTAGGATCTTAGCCGCTGGGATTATAGGCATGTGCCACCGTGCTTGGCTTCCCCAGCCCTTTTTATATTTTGTTTAGAGACAGGGTCTCACTGAATTGCTTAGAGCCTCGCTAAGTTGCTGAGGCTGACTTTGAATTCGCAATCCTCCTGCCTCAGCCTCCTGAGCTGCAGGGATTACAGGCATGATCCACAGCACCTGGCTACACTATCTTTGTTTATACTCCAGTAACAGAAGTTTAATCTGTTAGATCAAGTATGGTCTTTTGTTGTTGTTTTACTTTGCATTTCCTTGCATATTACTTAGGTTGAGGATCTTTTCCAGATTGTTGGACTTTCCAAGTTTTCTGGTTATGATTTGGTCTGTCTGACCTGTTCTTGCCTATTTTCCCAGATGATTGATTTTTCCCCCCTGCGTTGGGACCTCCTGCATGCTGGGGAAGCACTATACCACTGAGCCACACCCCAGCCCTACTGTTCACCTTTTGATTGTGAATTTGTAGAATTTAAACAATTTTAGCATATTAATAACTCCATTTTGTATGTTACAAATGTTTTGTCACAATCTGTCATCTCTGTCTGAACTTGACTTTGTCTTGCCCCACAGGAAGTTTTAAGTTGGAAGGGGACTGGCTGAAAATTTATTTCTGGGGAGACATAATCTCAGCCAGCCATCTAGGTACATCCCATTTTTCTGGCTGGCTTTAGCCTTTTTGTTCCTGACTCTCCACACTGAACCCAGAGCTCTCTGGTCCAGCATGTACATGAAGGCTTCTTTTGGCCATGTTCTGAGTCCGGCATGGTTTTATCTAATGGGATGAACCTGGTTAAAGAGATTAGCAAGATGTCTTGTGACTCCCACTTTTAATCTGCAGTGTTCAGGCTACTGTTTGGCTGGGAAGGGTGCTACAGAAACGACGCCCCAGACTTGCCCCCGCTACCATTACTGAGTTAACGGGGGTCCCAGGATAGGGAGCCCAACATGGGCAACCCCCAGAGCAGCTCCCTTCAGCTTGGGCAGTCTGCACCCTTCTCAAGGCCCTGAGTGGTCAGTCCCTGGGCTCACTCAGGTTAAGAGTGGGAGCTGTGCTGCAGGAGGCTATCTGGACAGCATTTGGCAAGGATGGCACTGCTGAAAGTCAAATTTGACCAGAAGAAGCGGGTCAAGTTGGCCCAAGGGCTCTGGCTCATGAACTGGCTCTCCGTGTTGGCTGGCATCATCGTCTTCAGCTTAGGGCTATTTCTGAAGATTGAACTCCGGAAGAGAAGTGATGTGATGGATAATTCAGAGAGCCATTTTGTGCCCAACTCCTTGATAGCGGTGGGGATGTTGTCCTGTGTCTTCAACTCTCTGGCTGGCAAGATCTGCTATGATGCTCTGGACCCTGCCAAGTATGCCAAGTGGAAGCCCTGGCTGAAGCCATACCTGGCCGTCTGTGTCCTCTTCAACATTGCCCTCTTCCTTGTGGCTCTCTGCTGTTTTCTGTTGCGGGGCTCATTGGAGAGCACCCTGGACCAAGGGCTCAGGAATGGCATGAAGTACTATCGGGACACAGACACCCCTGGCAGGTGTTTCATGAAGAAGACCATGGACTTGCTGCAGATCGAGTTCAAATGTTGCGGCAACAGTGGCTTTCGGGACTGGTTTGAGATTCAGTGGATCAGCAACCGCTACCTGGACCTTTCCTCTAAAGAAGTCAAGGAGTGAGTAGTCTCTAGTCCTGGGGCCAGGTCTATGTGGGGACACTGAGGCCCAGGCCTCTGACTCCCCACCCCATCCAGTCCCTTTTCCTCTACATTGGGTATATAACTTATTAGTATGTTATGAAGGGGCATCAGGTTGGATCACATGAAATTGCCATTATCCTAGCCCCTTTGGTCTGTGAAAATGGCAACTCCATGCAGTTCAACCTAATGTTTGGCTGAGGTGGAAGGATGGTGTCAAATTATATAAGCTGCTTGAATAAGAATCCCCAGGAGGGAGATATAGTCAGGTATGTGTGTACGCTTCCTATTGCAGGAATGGGGTCATTCATGGTTCACATACATTGAGACATTTGGTACTTGTTTCTTTAATCAAAGGAGGTGGATTCAGTCCCAGAAGTTTAAAATTTCTGATAAATTCCCTAGCTTTCCAATTTTGAACCCTGAGCATCCACTCCCAAGGCATTGTTCTTAGACATGGTGGAATCTAATCAATACCATTTTCTTTATGGGTACGGAGCAGAGGATGGGAGCAGTCAGAGCTAGGCTGTAGTTCTGGCTTGAGGCCTTGGGCAAGTCACTTGCTTCTGTGGGTCCTCGATTACTCATCTTTCAAATAATGCAGGTGCTCTTGGAGCTCACCTCTCAGCTCTATGCAGAGCCTGGCATCCAGCAAATGCTCATGAAATGCCTGCTGGTGTTTACTTCTGAAATCATGATAGCACAATACACTCAAGTATTTCTAAGGTATTCTTGGCATATATAAAAAGGAAATCCTGCAGGGGCCGAGGGGAGGTGATGGTGAGAAAGAATCTCAGCATGTGTGTTCGCAAAGACAACCTGTGTACTGACTCCAGTGGATGGCTCTTCCCAGAAGACTCACTGTGGTGGGTCTGGAGTAACTGTCCAGGGAAGGCAGCCTTCCCTGAGCCCCTGGCTCCCCTTCATATCTTTTGTCCAACTCTCTATTATGCTATTTATATAAATGGTTATTCAAGTGGTTTTCCATCTGAGTAAGTCTGGGGGACTTGAACATGAGGCCTGGGGCACACCAGCAGTGGGACATGACTGAAGTCCAAGTAACACGACTGGCTTCAGAGGGCTGAGTTAGCTCCCCACAGGTGGAAGGAAAGTCAGAGTGAAGGTCACTGCTTGGGATTTTGTTTTCTCTGTGGGTGGAGATTACTGCTACAAATCCCTAGAGGAGAGGATTGTAACCAGCTCTGTCCTTCCTAGATGACAGGTCCACAGGGACAGCATAAGGTGGCATGATTTGCATAAGTCACCTAGGAGGTTGTGAAGCCAGAGGGAGAAGCAGAATTCCTGGGGAGTGTGAGAGGCCAATGGCAGAACCAGCTTTTATGAGCAGATATTTGTTTTCCGAATAGGGTCAGTCTCCTGAGACATATAAAAATGGCTCTGTAGCCCCAAGTCCCTTTTTGTTCAAGTGGAGAAGTCACCCAGGTTGCTCTCAGTGACCAATGGATCCGAAATTTCAGGCAAATATTTAGCTTACTCAAAACTACCTCAACGCCCTATACCAACTTGTTGGAGTGAAATTATCCTGACTCCATTGACTTGGACAAAAATCTGTCTATTACCCATACACAAAAATATGATGATGATAATATTGAGAGGAACAAAAACAGGAAAGGAAATTCAAACAAGATTCTCACCAGCAACTAATGGATGGCTTTGATTTTTTCACATTTCAGTCTAGTCTTGTTAGCAGTGACATAATAACATAGTGTAATCATAGTATAAATGCAATTGAGTATTCCATTCTGTTATCTGATTACATAACATTTGCATAATGTTTACAATGATCCTGTTTAATGGTTGTATACTGTTTCACTGCATGAATGTGCACACTTAGGCATTTAGATTATTCTTATTTGTGTCTATTTTAAGTATCTTTGAGTCCTGTGCTTCTGTCTCTGTTCTCTTATTTCCCTTTGGCTAAATTTCCAGGAAGGAAGTGTACCTGTTGGCTTTCTCTTTCTACAAAGCTGGTCTTAAGACACAATTGTATAACTTACATCTCTTTCTCCTTTATAAAATTTCCAATGATGTTACACTATAGAGGAACTAATAGTGCTTCTAAGAGTATACCCTGATATGCTCACTGGTGCACAGACTCTTAAATTAATGGCGTAGTAGGCAGTGCCCAGGAGGGGAGTGAGGCTTAATGGAGTTGTAACTGCCTGGGGCCAACATCCTGGATCCAGTACTGAGCACAGCTCTTACCTGTGGTGGGAAAAACTAGGAAAGGAAGGAACGAGAAAGCAGAGTGACACTTTCACTGCAAGGGATACTAAATTTTTTTACCTTCATATTTTGATTCCTTCATTTAGGAAGATTAATAAGTTTATGGAACAAAGCTGGCTCCCAAAAATACTCTCTAGAAAAATAAAAATTCTATTTACCTTTTGACATCTCAACACTGAAAAGTTGTAAACATTTATCTGTCTCTGGAATTTCTCAGTAGTATGCTCATCCTAGGATTCTGATGAAAAAGAGGTGGGGCCCTGTGGGAGGCAGGGAGAGGAAGCAGTTATCATCCACTAAGATTTTTTTAGGAGGATTTCTCCTTTTTCCTTTTCTTACCAAATCTGGACATGCCAGCAAAAAGGCTGGAGTGAGCCTCATGTCCCTGAGGACTTCAGGGACGTCCAGGAGCGTTCTGACCAGGAGTGGCAGGCTGGTCAGAGGGCTGCTAGTCTGGATAATATGCACATGCAGCCTCGTAGGAGCTGGTGCTGCCTGTGGGCTGTGTGATTTCTGGTCATTTCAAGCTCTGTCACTGGAGCAGCTCTGTGCAAGGCGCACCTAGCCGGACCAGGATAGGGAAGGCTGAGTTGGGCACGTGCCAGCATTCCTGGTCCAGCTCCTGACAGGGAAGCTGGGTTCCTGTACCTGGGCTCTCCAGGAACCAAGGATGGAGCATGAGGCCTCAGAAAGCACAGAGAGGTGGGTAGTTTTTGAAAAATTTCCCAAGAGATTGGAGGATGAATGTTTGTTCACTGACTGGCAGAAACTTCAAATTATTCAAGCTGCTTTGGTGGGGGGGTTTTCATCTTTCTCTCTTCTTCCTGATTTTCTTTTTTTTTAATATATATTTTTTAGTTGTTTTTTTTTTTAGATGGACACAATATCTTTATTTTACATTTATGTGGTGCTGAGGATCAAACCCAGTGCCTCGTGTATGCTACGTGAGTGCTCTACCACTGAGCCACAACCCCAGCCCTTCTTCCTGATTTTCTATGGCTTGTTCTCTATTTCCCTCCCCAAAGAAACAGTGAGTGGGTGGGCAGAGAAAATACAGGATTAAAAAACATCTATGTGGCACACACCTGTAATTCCAGCAGCTTGGGAGGCTGAGGCAGGAGGATTGCGAGTTCAAAGCCTGCCTCAGCAATTTAGTGAGGCTCAGGAAGCTGAGACATCAAGAGGATCGTGAGTTCAAAGCCAGCCTCAGCAAGGCACTAAGCAACTCACTGAGACCCCGTCTCTAAATAAAATACAAAAAAGGGCTGGGGATGTTGCTCAGTGATTAAGTGTCCCTATGTTCAATCCCGAGTACCAAACAAAACCCAACCAAAACGAAAAAAAAAAAAAAAAAATCTATGGATTCTGACTGGATTCTAGTGCTCTGTGCCAGGTCTCAGATAATCACAAGGTGGTCTCATGGCTTCTGGGGAATGGCAAATAGGGTAGTCATCATGCTTTAACATTCTGTGTTTCCCTCCTTCCCCAGGCTGGTGGGCCTGACTGGGCCAGGAAAAGGAGGCATTGTCTCAGATGTAATTGGTGGAGGCCCTCAGAGGAGTCCAGAGACAATGCCTCTGCTGGGGCCTGAGTTCTCAGAGCCAGAAGGATCTGTAGTTCTCAAACTGTGGGTTTTTTTTTTTTTTTTTTTTGGTATCAGGGATGGAACCCAGGGGCACTCAACCCTGAGCCACATCCCTACTCCTTTTCTGTATTTTATTTAGAGATGGGGTCTCACTGAGTTGCTTAGGGCCTTGCTGAGTTGCTGAAACTGGCTTTGAACTTGAGATCCTCCTGCCTCAGCCTCCCAAGCTGCTGGGATTACAGGCGTGCATCACCACACCTAGCTTCAACCTTCGTTTTTTTGTTTTTCCAGTACTTGGGGTTATCCAGGCCTCACACATATTAGGTAAGCACTCTCCCACTGCTCTACACATCTAGCATTTTTTATTTTGAGACAGTCTTGCTAAGTTTCTGAGACTGGCCTTGAACTTCTGATCCTCTTGCTTCAGCCTCCAGAGTAGCTAGGATCTCAGGTGTGTGCCACGCACCTGACTTCAATCAGTACTTCTTTCATTTTATGGCTGTGTCTTCTGCATCAGACTGGGACTCCTTCAGAGAGAAGCCCAGTTGAGCACAGGGAAGGTGGGCCAAACTTGATGGAGGTAGGTTTTCCCTGGGCCTCCAGCTGCTCACATCTCTGGAATACCCCCACTGCTCAGAAGCATTGCCTTGTTTATGCGGGGCCTGCCCTCCTTCCAACCACAGATTAAGGCTTGCCCTCCTTCCAACCACAGATTAAGACAAAGCCAGGCAGAGAAGAGCTACTTAGGTGATGAGCTGGCTATTTATAAACAGCAAGTATTTCCCAGGCTACATTTTTTTTCTCTGCTTGGGGGTCACCAGAGTTTATAGAGTCTTGACTAAGATAAGGCCTGTGTATTAGCTTACTCCCCACACACAAGCCACAAAGAGCCTGGACAAATCATCACATCAGAGTTTTTTCCAGAGAAATAAACAATTTAGTAGATGCACCAACAAATCAATAAGGGAAGACATATGGAAATGAATGGGAAGGAAAGAGGTCATAGGAGTATAACTGACAGTGAGTCAACCCCAACCTAGGCTAGCTGAGTGGCAGCTGGGGAACCTTGGCAACTTGCTTGACCTTTCTGAGCCTCTTGTCCCATCTGAGAACTGAGAATATAAGTGTGGAGATGTGGTGCAGATATAGGTGTACACATGGAGCACTTGGAATACAGTAAGGTCTTAGTATTTCCTTTAAGATTGTTTTTTTGAGTAGTCACTAGACATAAAGAATTGTAAGTATCAAGGGAAGACACAGGAGGAGGCGGCACAGCCTCATCCTCAGAGAACCCCAGTCAGAGGAGACACAGCCCTGCCCTGTTGAGACCAGCAGGGCGACTTGTTCACTGGGGTTGGGGAGGTAAGGTGGGAGACCAGGCTGTCCAGAAGGCCAATACGCAGACTAAAGGCAGCTCAGAGCCTCTGCTGGCCTCACCCTAGGTCTGCAGGCCTGGCCTTCATTTCACATACATGTGTAAAATGTGTGAAATGTATAAGACAGGTGTGCAGGGTTTACCCCAGTTTAGAGACACCAGGAGGGCACATAAGGATCAAAATAAGGATAGATGATGTCTCAAAATAAGGATAGATGATGTCTCAAAATAAGGATAGGTGATGGTGGTTAGGAAATGGTTGCCAGGACAGGGAGCAGGCAGAGGGAACTTGTGCTTTCCTAGGAAATTTTTTTTTTTGTTGTTGCCAGGGATTGAACTCAGGGGCACTTGGCACTTAGCTACATCCCCAGACCTATTTTGTATTTTATTTAGAGTCAGGATCTCACTGAGTTGCTCAGTGCCTTGCTAAATTGCTGAGGCTGGCTTTGAACTCTTGATCCTCCTGCCTCAGCCTCCTGAGCTGCTGTATTACAGGTGTGCACCACTGCACCTGGTGCTTTCCCTAAGAATTTAACCAGAAAAGCCAATAGGCAGGAAGGCCCTGAGAGGCATGAAAACTGAGGCAATGTGGAAACCAGCGGCCACCTGCTATTGACTGGTCTCTAAATGACTTACTGAGTGGCTCTGGGGGAGGTTCTCTCCTTCTCTGAATCCCACTTCCTCCTTTGTAGAACAAGCTGTCCAGATGGTTCTAAGTGGAGAGAAGCCTGAACTTCCTGAGGGCCTAGGGAATGCCAAGCCTGGTCAAATGTGTTCCTTGCATCACTGAGAGGTGATGATCATCTGGCCTCACATGGTCCACAGAAGTCAAGCCCCACAGCTTACCTTTGGGACTCAAAGGTCTGCTCTCTGGCACACCTCTGCCTGTCCATGGAGACAACTGAGGATATCTACAGGGTTTTCTGTGCTAGGGAGAGGGCTCCAGGGACATGCAGGTCAGGAAGAGGGGTGAACAGATTGGCGTTGGAAACTCCCAGCCCTGAGGAAGGTAAGCTGGACTTCGGGGTGGGGTGGAGGGAGCATTTTAGATGTTCAGTGTTCCCAGAACTTCTGGCTCCTTAAAACGTGGGTGGGAGCCCCAAGCTGAAGGCCTTGCCAACACCCTTCCAGTCACATTCTCAAAGGTACCCCCTGCCTGGGCCAGGTGCGCAGCTCTTGGACTCCTGTAGGAAGTGAAGCAAGTCCTGGTGTCTGCTCTCTTTACAAACATGGAGCTGTCAGGGAGACAGGAACAAGTGAGAACTTAAGCAGAGGGTGGCCTCCATCAGCCAGCAAGTATCTCACAGCACCTGCATCCTACTGGGCTGGAGCTCTGTACTAGGCCGACCTCAGTGAGAATCCCACACGGCAGCTGTCCTTAAAGACCAGAAACTACAGCTGTAGAACTTATGCCACCAGCTCATAAGTGACTGCACCGCTGGGATGTGTGGTCTGTTCTGATCACACCTGATGCAAGCTGCCCAGGCACATGCGCTGCCTGGGATGGCTCCTGCTCTGGCACTACCCGTGGAGCCAGCCTTTGCAAAGGAGCTCATGTTTATTGTGCACCTCCTCCACACCAGGCACCCTTGAAGCACTTCAAACAACCTTGTATCAACTCGTTTTAGATTAAGAAACTGAGGCAGGGAGAGGTTAATGAATTTATCCAGAAGAATAGAGCTGGACTGAGAGCCAGAGTCAAACCCAGATGCTCTTATCCCTGTTTACATCACCGTGCCACCTAGAGCCACCCATTCTCCAGACAGAGGGTCTTGCCCACACATGAAGAAAAGGTCAGGGCTGCAGGCCATGTGGAAATATGATCACCATGGCCCAGGCCACCATGCAGCCTTCCTAAAGTCTTAATTGTCATAGATGGAAGTCAAAGGCAGTTCACAGAAAAGGGACAACAAGTGGGTCATAAACATATGAAAAGATGTTCAACTTCTCTCATAATGAGAAGGTAATATTTTTCTTCTATTATGTTGGCAAAGTTCAAAAGCCAGACCTGTGTGGGTATAGCCATGGAAGGCCAGCTCTCACAAGCAAGGTTGTTAGCCCCCTAAAGGGAGAAATATGGGAGAGAGCTGGCAGAATCACTCTTTGATGCAGAAATGTCTCATCTAGAAATTTACTGTTAGATATATTCACAACAAGTACTGTGACCCATGTCCGTGTTTGCATTAACAGGAGAATGGAAGAAACCCAAACTGCTGTCAGTAGGGAATTGAACAGAAACCCTGTGGGTTATTTTCAGGACAAAAATTCAGGACAATTTCCAATGGCAGGTGTGAAAAGACTTCTAAGAAACTACTAAGGGAAAAAGGAAATGTTCAAGGCATTATGTATACAATGTTACCATTCAGGTTAACAAACAAACAGGAAAAATACCATTTGCAGAGTCTCTGGTTGGTTGTCCATGCGCGAAGCCTCTCTGGGTGGACAGGCAAAGCTGGCCACAGTGGTGGGACCTGGAGGCTGAGAGACAGGGAGGGAGAAGTGTTTTGTATTAAAGATATTTTATTTAGAAGCTAAACAGGGGGGGCTGAGGTTGTGGCTCAGTGGTGGAGTGCTTGCCTAGCAAATGTGAGGCACTGAGTTCAATTCTCAGCACCACATATAAACAAATAAATAAATGGAGGTCCATCAATAACTAATAAAAATTTTTTAAAAAAGAAGCTAAACATGGACATCTTTTTGAAGAGTGCAATCACCATTTTCAATGAACATTGTTAAAAATAATGTCTGTTTTAAAAAATAGCATGCTTTCTATTCTTGTGTTTCAAAAGTCTATTGCTATTAAGTAATGAATAGCTCACAGGCAGCTTTTTCACTTGAGGCAAAATGTACACAGTTGAGTGTGCAAGTATTGTATATAGCTGGATGCATTACACATTCAGGTTGGGCAGAACAAACCCAGCCTGCTTGAGTGCAGGTGAGTGCTTTCACCATAAAGATTCCTTTTGAATTGGGAACCTGTGTGAATATGTGTTATGCTTTAAACAGCTGCACATAGAATAGAGAAATGTAAAAGTGTATGGAGCCCTGCCTGTCGGCCTGGAGAGCCAAGGTTGCAGCCACATCTTTCAGATGAGTAAGGAGCCCTCATCTGGCTAGAGATGGAATTCACAGACAGTGAAGGGTGCCTGCCTCAGGTCTCAACTGCTTGCCTCTGCACAGGCCCAGAGCAGACCTTCTGGAACCTTCTCGTTGGAAGGGTCTTTGGTTAGGAGTGACCTTTCAGAGAAAGATAAAGTTGGTGAGAGATTTAGGGATTAAACCTGATGGTTGCCAGCAAGAACCTTGTCCATGATCACTACCTATCTTTTCTAGCAATCTGGCAGGGGTCCCAAGAATTATTGCAGGTGGGGGCCTGACAGCAGAGTGAATAGGTGAATTTCTACATTTCCTCAACACTTACGTCTTGGTTTACTATCTATTTCCACCTTCTAGAGCATAAGCTCTAAGAAGGCATGGGCATGGGCTATGTGCTTACTGTTCTTTCTAAAGTGTCCAGGACTGCAGCCAATACATAGCGGCTACAGAGCAAATATTTATCAGGTGAGCAAGGGAAGGAAGGAAGGAATGAAGGGAGGGAGGGAGGGAGGGAGGGAGGAAGGAAGGAAGGAAGGAAGGAAGGAGCGAGCCAGGTTTTTAGAGGCAGGGGATGAGAAGAACTGGCACCTGGTGAAAAGTCTGGGAAGCCTGAGTCAAGTTCTCTGTTTCTCCTCCAGTCGCATCAAGAGCAATGTGGATGGGCGGTACCTGGTGGATGGTGTCCCTTTCAGCTGCTGCAACCCCAACTCACCACGGCCCTGCATCCAGTACCAGCTTACCAACAACTCAGCCCACTACAGCTATGATCACCAGACTGAGGAGCTCAACCTTTGGCTACATGGCTGCAGGGCTGCCCTGCTGAGCTACTATGACGGCCTCATGAACTCCATGGGTGCTGCCACACTCCTTGTCTGGTTCTTTGAGGTAGGCCTCAGGCCAGCTGCTGGCGAGAAGGAGCTCCCAGCCTCATTTGGGTTTAATGGGGGTGGAGTCAGGCCTGGAGAGTGCATTTTCCTCCACAGCACCAGCTTTGGCCTGGCTGTGGGTCACAGCACTGAGCTTGCATCCCATGTCTCTGCTTCATTTAATTTCTTTACCATCACTTTTTTATTAATATTTATTTTTTAGTTGTAGTTAGACACAATACCTTTATTTTATTTATTTATTTTTATGTGGTGCTGAGGATCGAACCCAGGGCCTCACACGTGTTAGGCGAGTGCTCTATCATTGAGCCACAACCCCAGCCCATCCCATCACTTTTTGAAAACTTAAAAAAATATATATATTTATTTATTTATTTTTATGTGGTGCTGAGGATCGAACACAGTGCCTCACACATGTGAGGCAAGTGCTCTACCATTGAGCCACAACCCCAGCCCTTTCCCAGCACTTTTAAAAAAACATATAGAGGTGATATTCACAGAACATAAAATTTCATTTTAAAGTGTACATTTAATTGGCATTTAGTATATCACAATATACTACCATCTAGTTCCCAAACCTTTCTATCACCCCAAAGAAAACCTCATGTCCATTCAGCAGTCACTCTTTATTCTCCCACATCTCCTGCCTCTGCTAACTATGTCTGTTCTGTGCCTATGGATTTACCTGTTTTGGACATTTCACATAAACGGACCCACATAATATGAAAGCTTTTGTGTTTGGTTTCTTTTACTTAGCATCTTTTGGAAGTTAATATTGTCCTTTCACTTTTTGAGATCTTGGACTGCTGTTCAACCTCCCTCTGATATAGGGATACAACACCTAGCTTTGGAGACTGTTGGGAGGCAACATGTACAGCAGTACGTATGTTAGGGGTGTTTGGTAAATGGGAACTGTTTGGGATTGTGTTTCTTCAGATTCTGATCACCATTCACATGTTAATGTAGTTCTTAGATCTTAAAAATATCAGCAAGCCCCCAGTTAATGTTTTGAAGTCTTCATTGAAGAGAATGCTCAGACAATAAACATGTTGGGCACTGTTCTAGGTGCTGACCAAGGGCATGACTGGGAGACAAGGTGGTGGCAGTGGGGGTGCAGTAGGGACTCAGGATGCCTACTTTGAGTTTCTCTGATAGCAGAAAACCCAGAGTCCAAAAATCCAAACATAAAAAGCCAGAAACATTAGGTAGGAAAGCTTTTTACATCAGAATTTCTTTGAAGGATTCTTTTTAAGTCATTCTTCCAGTACTATGGAAATTATAGGGTATATCTACTGTGTCTGTGGCTGCTACACACCTTTTTAAATTCACTATATGAAACTAGAGGGTGACTATACTGCCCAGGAAGGCTTTATTAATTAATTTATTTTTGGCACTAGAGATTGAACACAGGGATGCTTCATTTATTTATTTAAAATATTTTTATTATTTGTTCATGGATCTTTATTTTATTTATTTATTTATATGTGGTGCTGAGAATCGAACCCAGTGCCTCGCACATGCTAGGCAAGCGCTCTTCCACTGAGCCACAACCCCAGCCCCACAGGGATGCTTTAGTACTGAGCTACACCCCTTTTTATTTTTATTATTATTTTTTTTGTTTTGAGAGATAGAAATATTTATTTTTTAGTGTTTTCAGTGGATAAAACATCTTTGTTTGTATGTGGTGCTGAGGATCGAACCCAGGCTGCACGCATGCCAGGCTAGCACACTACCGCTTGAGCCACATCCCCAGACCCACCCTTTTTTATTTTTAGTTTTGAGACAGGGTATCTCACTAAGTTGCTTAGGGCTGTCCTAAATTGCTGGGTCTGGCCTTGAACTTTCAATCCTTCTGCCTGAGTCACTAGGACTAGAGGCATGTACCACCACTGTGCTCAGCAGCAAGGCTTCTTTGTGTTTTTTTTTTTTTTTTTTTTTTTGGTGGGGTACTGGAGATGGAACTCAGGGGCACTCAACCACTAAGCCATATCCCCAGCCCTGCTTTCTATTTTTATTTAGAGACAAACTGGGTCTCACTGAGTTGCTTAGCATCTCATGTTTGCTGAGGCCAGCTTTGAACTCATGAACCTCCTGCTTCAGCTTCCCCAGCCGCTGGGATTACAGGCTTGCACCACCACATCCAGCTTTTTCTTTTCTTTTCTTTTTTTAAAATATTTTTCTTAGTTGTTGATAGATACAATATTTTCATTTATTTATTTCTATGTGGTGCAGAGGATCGTAAACAGGGCCTCAAGCGTGTGAGGCAAGCACTCTACCACTGAGTTACAGCCCCAGCTCCACAGCAAGGCTTCTTTTGATATCAAGGTCAACAGCATATTCATGACCATTTAGCTTTGGGGTCTTTTTGTTGGTCCTGCCTCCTGAGACAGTGTCTTGGGAAAGAGTAGGGGTAGACCGAGGAGAGTAGCTTATTGCTAGAAGTTTAGATGGTTAGGATCCTGCAGAGCTCATGAAAAGATTAAAAGGACAAAGCAGTCAGTTGGGAAGTGGAGTCCCACTGGCTGCCTCTCAGCTTACCTCCCTTGTAAGATCCTACTGACCACACAAAATGAGGGCCAGCACATCGTGTGCAGGGAGTGAATGGCCCCAATTTCCTCCAGGCCTTTTGTGATTAGAGATATGATGAACACGAAGGTGGCAAAGATAATGATGGGATTTCTGACCTTCACCTTGACCCCTATGCTTCACAATCCAGTCAGGAGATGACATTATACTTATGAACAAAGGGAGGACCATAACCAAGGGCAAAATTCATAATGCAGTGGGTGTTCTATAGGAAAGCAGGAAGGGATCAGTGTGGACGCACTCAGCATGAGGATTTCCTGGAGGAGGTGACTTTTTCCATTGTGAAAATATTCCATTAAACCTTCAATTGACAATAATAACAAAAGTTAAAACTCTATCACTTACTTACTAGTCGTTATAAATTATCCCCAGAGCATTCATCAGCAGGTATTTACTGAGACCCCACCATTACCCAGGGTATTCTAGGAGCTGAGGCACTGGGTGAACAGAGCCATCAGGGCCAGCCCTGCCCTCAAGGAGCAGCCTAGTCTTCTCACAGTGTGCCCTGACACACAGGAAGCAGAAGAGTACAAATCAGGCATTTGTGTAGAAATATGTGACCAATGGAATATGTCACTGGAAAAGCAAAAACAGTACTTACCAAGCTAATCACAGATGACACTCCTATTTGTCCTGCCATGGGCCAACATTGTGCACTATACAGATACCAAGGCACCACAGCATCCATGTGAGGCAGGTGCCATTGCATCTGGAAACCTGCAAACCAGAGGAATAAGTCCTGGTTTCCTAGTCACATGACTTGTGAAGTGCCACGGCTGGGGTTCTAACCCAGGCGTTTGGCACCAATGTCTGCCACATCCAAATGACCCATTACTAGCATCCATTCATTGCCACACTAATCAAAATAACAGTAATAAAGAGAAACCACACATCCTATTGTTTGCTGAAAAGGTATCTTTTGACATTCAATGATTACCAAACACTCAATACATGCCAAGGAATGTGCTAGGAATGGGGTGGAGGGCATCATGGTAAAGTAACCCAGGACTGAGGGAGTAGCAAGGGAGCTCTCCAAGGGTTGAAGCTGAATTAATGGTAAGGTGAATGTTTTGGGAAGAGAACAATGAATGGTACAGACCCAGAGGGGAGAAAGGATTTGGTGTGGATTAGAGGCAGACACATTGAGCCAGGGTGCCCCCTCAGTTTGAGCACTACTCCGGGAGGCACAGACTGGTGGAAAACCCATGGTTTCCTCCTAGCCCAACTCCTAGCTCCTGCCCCTCATTCCTGTCTTCTCTCTTCACCAGGTAACTGTCACAGTTGGGCTGCGCTATCTGCATACAGCACTGGAAGGTGTATCCAATCCCGAGGACCCTGAGTGTGAGAGTGAGGGCTGGCTGCTGGAGAAGAGCATACCTGAGACCTGGAAGGCCTTTCTGGAGAGCTTGAAAAAGCTGGGCAAGGGCAACCAGGTGGAAGCTGAGGGTGCAGATGCAGGCCAGGCCCCTGAGGCTGGCTGATGGCCCTTGCCCTGCCCCTCCTGAACACTGAGTAGTGGACTCCAGGAAATGCGGATTCCTCCCTTGTCCAACTGAAAGTCTGATCTCCCAAGAAGGCTGGCCACCTCTCAGAGACTCTTGTCTCTGGGAGACAAGAAGTTTAGGGTCCCCAAAGTGTGTGGCAAACACTTTTTGAATGACTCCAAATGTGAATAAAAGAGGCCCAGCAGGCTCCCTGCCCTGGGATGTGCCCTTATGATGGACTCACGGCCTTTCTGGTGATGACTAGCCAGGATTTATGCTTCTCCTAGCACATTAATCCAGTCTCAACATCTTTAGGTATTGACCACACCTGAGTGCTGCTCCTCCTTTAGTTTGGCTGTTATGAGCTCCAAGTTGCTTTATTTTAAATCTAAAGCATCACTTGATGCATACAGGAATCTGAAGAATATAATGGCCGTTTTGGGGGTGGGGTGGGGGTGTAGATAATGGGGATTGAACCCAGGGCACTTACCCACTGAGCCACATTCCTAGCCGGAATGTATTTTATTTATAGACAGGGACTCACTGAGTTGCTTAGGGCCTCATTAAGTTTCTGAGGCTAGCTTTGAACTCAATCCTCCTGCCGAAGCCTCCTGAGCCGCTGGGATTACAGGTGTATGCCACTACGACCAGCTTTTTTTTTTTTTTTTTTTTAATGCCAAGATTGACAGGTCATTTTGTTGTTTAATGCCAGAAGGTGGGGGAAAGTTACCCTTTTCTAAGGGTATTGGACTCTCCAAAGCATTGATTCCTCTATACAGGAATTCAATCGTGGGGCAAAAGAATTTTGAGGTAGGAGCTTATTTCCCACCAAAAACATACTGAAAGGCCTGCTTTTCTGTTACATTCCCATGCTCTATCACTTAGTCCAAGTAAATCATGGGCTGTCAGCATGTTCCAGCAATACCCTAAAGTGCTAAATGAATACCTGCAGCTCATCCCTAGGAAGTCCTGGTTTAGGTTACTGCCCTGCTGTGAAAGAGGAGCAATTATCAGACAAGAATTCACCCCTTTGGAGGTCAGGCCTCACCTTCTGGTGGACCCGGGGACACCTGTACAGGTGGCTGTGACATCCCCCATGGACCAATATAGTGGAGGGCAAGGAGTCGTCTGGGAGTTTCTCCCCCAATATCCATCCTGCAAAGCAATATTTTGGAATGTTTCTGCATCAAAGATTCTTTGAGAAGCCAATATTCCTGAGCTAGCACTTGTATAAGCAGGGTTCACTTGCTTTAGGAAACAGGAAAGCTTCAGGGAAAGGAGAGCACAATTTTACTGGCATTCCAGGCCCCTGGGGAACCTGATCACAGAAGGGCCCAGCATAATTCTGCTAGTTGGATAAACATTCAAGATAGTTTATTCCTACCTGGCTAGAGATCAAAGCCAGGAGGTAGAAGACAGAGGGGAACAGCCTTTAACTTACCTCTGCTCTGACCAAGAAATGGTGTTGGTAATAGGTTACTTTGGACCCAGTCGGGGTTTATTCTAGGAACTTTAGTATAGAGACTTAAGATTACTGGTGCTGTCTGAGCTATGTCTGGGATTCAATTCTCTCAGATCAGAAGATGTTTGGACACCCTGTCAAATTTTGGTTCCAGGCTTACATAGATATAAGTTTGAGACCAAGGAAGGATCCACTCTGAAAACACTGAGTCAGCCAGCCATCTCTGGTGAGGGCCCTTGAGCTCTGGAGCTCCCAGCTGTCTCTCAGGAGTGCCGAGAACCATCATGAAACTGCTGTTCTAGGCCCATATATGTATCTATGCTGTCAACAGCTGTGTAACATATTAAAAACTATGGTACAAATTTTGCTTTGTTAAACGACTATCTTAACTCATCAATAGCAGGTATGCCAGAATACCCAACACTAGTTAGCATTCATTAAAGAATACAAGAGGTTATCAATCACTGTTACCAACATGTCTTAGGTACCATTTTGACTTAAGTGTTTAAGCAAAAGTTCTATTTTTTTTTTTTAAATTTTAATATTTATTTTTTTTTAGTTTTCAGCAGACACAACATCTTTGTTTGTATGTGGTGCTGAGGATCGAACCCAGGCCTCACGCACGCCAGGCGAGTGCACTACCGCTTGAGCCACGTCCCCAGCCCAAGCAAAAGTTCTAAACCTTGTGCTGGGGTGTAGCTCAGTGATACAGTGCCATCCTAGCATGTGGTAGGCCTGGGCTTGATCCTTAGTACAGTTTAAAAAAAAAAAAATAAAATCCAAATCTTTTTTTACCCCCATCTCTTTGCCTATAATATAGTTCCCCAAACAGGGAAATCTGAGCCTCCAGGGGGACAAGTAATGTGAGCAGCTTGTTGGAGGATGTGAGCAACCCAAGAATCTGAAACAGTGTTGGGAGCATCAAGGGTCATGACCCCCTGATAAATCTCAACAGTTGGTTCAGAGCATATTTAAAAATTGAACAGGTTTCAATTAGTCAGGTATTTGCTAGAGAAACCTGGTCCATTCCTTTTGGTCACCTATCAGTGTCTAGTAAGACTCAGGTACCAGGTTTTTTTTTTTTTTGGGGGGGGTGGGTACCAGAGATTGAACTCATGGGTACTCTGCCACTGAGCGACATCCCCAGCTCTATTTTGTATTTTATTTAGAGACAGGGTCTCACTGAGTTGCTTAGTGCCTCAACACTGCAGAGGTTGGCTTTGAACTTGCAATCCTCCTGCCTCAGCCTCCCCAGCTACTGGAATTATAGGTGTGTGCCACTGTGCCCAGCCCAGGTTCTTTCTTGTGTATAACTTCAGTCTTTCCTAGGGCTAGTGTAAATTCACTTCTCTCAAAGGACTCAGCCAATTTTTAAAGTTGTCAGCCTGGCTCTGGGGTGGAGTTGGAGGTGAAGACAGGACTTTGGGATTTTTACTTTTTTTTTTCTTTTGCAGTACTGGGTATGGAATTCGGGGATTCATACATGCAAGGCAAATGCTCTAACATTGAGCTATTATCCCCAGCCCAGGATTTTTACTTTTTTTTTTTTTTTAATCTTGCCTTAAAGGCAATTATTTATTTATTTATTTTAAAATATTTATTGTTTAGTTTTCAGCAAACACAACATCTTTGTATGTGGTGCTGAGGATCAAACCCGGGCCGCATGCATGCCAGGCGAGCACGCTACCGCTTGAGCCACATCCCCAGCCCCGGATTTTTACTTTAAATTTTTTTTTTTTTTAGTTGAAGATGGACACAATACCTTTATTTTATTTATTTATTTTTATGTGGTGCTGAGGGCCAAACCCAGTGCTTCATGTGTGCTAGGCAAGCGCTCTGCCACTGAGCCACAACTCCAGTCTAGACTTTTACTTTTAAATCACTGTTTAGGGAATTAGTAGGCAATGGGTTCCAATACTGAATATTTAGGAAGCCAGGTATCCTGGAATTTGTAGCCCCAGCTCAAGAACCCATAGCTTCTGTCAACAATGCTTCAAGCCCAGGGATGAGCCGCCAGCAAATAAAACCCTGTGTAACCTCAATATAGTTAATAAGATTAGATTCTTGTTTGACACGCTCCCCTCCCCTCTTTGTCTGGGTATCCGTCAAGCTAGGCCAGCAGGTTTGCATCTTAGCTGAGGCAGTGAGGGACCAAGACAACTAGGGCCCCTCACCCACTACTGGGTAGAAAATCAGCCCTGGAGGGCAACATGCCTCATTTGTGGAATACTGTCTTAGTCCAAGAAGACAAGGGATGCCCATCTTGGTTCTCAGTGGACAGAGTTTTGGCTAAAAGGGAGGAAACATCAATCCTTAATTCTTGGTGGCATTTTATCCTGTCCTCCAAAACAGAGGATGAAGTATGGATGGTCAAGTTAAAGAGATCAGAGAATAGCATGCTCAAGGACACTGTCAAGTGGGGGATTATGACAGAAGGGACAACTCCTAGATATTTTCTTAAGGAAATGAGAATTCAGTCAACACAAAAACCCACATATAAATGTAGTAGTAATCAGTGAATAATCACCAGAAGCACCAAATATTCACTACCTGGCAACGGTACAAACATTTATACAACCAAATAGTACTCAGCAATCAAAATAAAAGGAACATGGGTGACTCTTTGTGAGAGAAACAGACTCAACAAGCTACATACAATGATTCCATTTGTATCTCATCTGACAAAAGGCACAGAGGGACAGATTATTAGTGGGAGCCAGAATCGGAACATAAAGAAAAGCTGGCTACAAAAGGGCACCAGGGAATTTTTTTGGGTGATGGAACAGTTCTATTTCTTAATTGTTTGTAAAATACCTTCAATAAACTTTGCTTGGAAAAACAAGAGTAGGGACAGAGCAAGATGTGTACCGGAGGGGGCTTGAAGAGTCCTGGAACTAAAAACTACACTGGGCAGGGAGTAGCTGGGGCAGCTTTACCAACCAAGGAGGCAGGGAAGGTTTTAGTTTCACACTTTCCTCTTAAGAGGATTCTGAAAATCACAGCAGAACGCCTCATATCTAAGGGCTCTCCTATGATTAAAAAATATCACCTCCTGGGGCTGGGGTTGTGGCTCAGTGGTAGAGCGCTCGCCTAGCATGCGTGAAGCCCTGGGTTTGATTCTCACCACCGCACAAAGATAAATAAATAAAAGTATTGTGTCCATCTACAGCTAAAAAATATTTAGAAAGACATTTCCTTTCTATATATGTCTCAGAAGCATAAAGTGTCTGGCAAGTGTGTAAGGATAAGAAGCTGGAGACCACCAGATATGGATGAGCAAGAGTTGAAACCTGGGACAGGTCTCAAAGTGCCTTATTGTCCTAATAATTTGAGGACTGAAATGGGTCTAGAAAAGTCACAAACTGTCATTGACAATGCAAATAAAATTTAATTGGCTGAAATAATGACTTAAGCTTTCTCTGGGAAGGTCAGAATGACTTGACTAGAAGCCATAGTTGACACTAATAATATAAGCCTCTTAAATTTCAAGCTAATACAGAAGTCCCACTTCCGCAGCAATGTGATATAGGAAGCACTGCTATGACATTTAAATGTGTGAAATAAAACCAAAAAGAAGATGTAGGCCAATCCAAAGTAATGTCAACACCTAAAGCATTTATTTGGTTATCTTTAAACTTTTTACATATGATACATCTCAAATTTTACAAGTTGTTCACAGATATTAAAGTTATACCCAATTTATTAAACAGATATGATTCCCTGATATGGAAAGCATGTTATATTAACATTTCTACAATAAACATAAAACATGCGAAACAAATAAAACTAAGTTGCTTTGTTAAGTAGGGAAGACAACTAACTTAACATCAGAAAATAAAAGGTTGTGCACATTGCAAATTCATGTAAATTCATCTTCTTCCAGACTCTTTGATTTTCTCAGAGAATAGAATCCAGGGACACAAATTCTGCTAACTCCAGGCTTCTATGAAGTCAGGCCTGAAAAGCTGGAGCACTGTTGATTTGGTGAAAATGTTTATAATCCACTTAAAGGGAGAAACCTGGTCTTATAATTTAAAGTCCAAGTATGGTAAACACATGGGGGGAAAAAAAAAAGAAGCTAAACTTAAAAGCAAAAGAAACCATGTGTCAAAGACCAAAAGAAACCTAAATTATGCCATTTACAGCCCAAACAATCAGATTGTATAAATCAAAGAAAGGCCAGGAAATGTAGGAGAGAGATGGATTCTAATTTGGATTTTCTTCCCGCTGAATCTTTGCTTACTGTGTGGGCCAACTGCAAGCAAAAGAATTTTAAGGCCAACCTTTCAAAAGGAAGTGGTTCCTTCACAAACAACTTTGGAGAGAGATGTGGCTTCTGCATTTTCTCTTACTTTAGTCTCAGGTCTGGATTTCTGACCTTCCTCTCGGGAATTCTGTGGAGCGTGCACAGATGAGTGGAATGGAACTTGCTGATGCAACGCTGAGTAACAGGGTTACTTGCATTGGTTATAAAATTGAAGAGCCTCTGGTCATTCATTTGCTCCTTAGCCCCACCCTAGAGAGGCAAGATCTATTCCTCCACTAAATCCATGTCACTTTTAGTATGTATCCAAGCTCTCAGCACACTTGTATCAAATGTGAGTAACTGTGTGGTATGTAAGAGTTCTAGCTGGATGCAGTGTTGCCTGCCTGTAATACCAACAATTCAGGAGACTGAGGCAGCAGGATAACAAGTTTAAGACCAGCCTCAGCAATTGAGTGAGGCCCTAAGAAATTTAGCAAGACTCTGTCTTAAAATAAAAAAGGCTGGGGATGTGGCTCAGTGGTAAAGTATCTCTGGGCTCAATCCCCAGTACCCCCCTCGCCCCTCCCCCCCCAAAAGAAAAGAGTTCTAAGCCATTTTACTGAGCAGCTGTCATTCTAGGAAGGCACCTCTTAGTAAGAATGATACTTAAAAGGAATAAAAAGCCTGGGTGCATCCCAGGAATGTACTAAGTAAGCCACTAGGTAAGCAGCAAATCAGTATTCCAGAGAATGCTGGACAGGGTGGGGAACTCAAAACACCGAGTATTTTTTTCTTTTCTTTTTTTTTTTTGCTAGTGTATGATTCTAGATGCATATATTCTCTCCATTTAGCCTTAAAAAGAATAGATAAAATTACTGTCTGACAAATTAGATTCTTTCAGTTTTCAAAAAGCCCTTTTAGTGAGTTTTACTCTCAAAGCTAAAAATAGGAAAAACAAACAAAACCCCTCAACCTCTGATATCCGTGAAAAATCAGCCAGCATACTAGGAAACCACTCCTCTCTGTGTGCTCCTTCAGCATGCATGTTCCTCAACCTTCTCTCAGTCCACAGTGAGGAGGGAATCCTGCCTTTGAAATCAACTATGTTGCTTTTAGAGGTAGGGTCCAGTCAGCAGAGGGCAACACCAACCCAGTCCCAGTCCTGAGTCACTTAGAGGAGCCAGGAAGTATGACCTGGATGGGCACTGACTGCCTCTGCCGAATAAGCACCAGCCCCAGAGTTCACCAGATTCCATATGCGAAATGGTTCAGGCCACTGGCAATAGCTGATGCGGTCAGACTCCCACAGAGGCTGAGCTCCAGTCCGGGAAGGGAAGCTCTTCATTGGCTGTTAAAACCCAAGGCAGGGCATTTGAGGGGCAGACACAGTGCAAGAAAATCTGCTGATGGAAGATGATTTTCATCAGTCCCTGGAGTTGGAAAACTACAAAGATAAAACTGGGCAGGAAGGCTTAAATAAAGAATTTATTTCAAAATTCAGCTGAACTTATTTCCTATTCTCTTTCTTGAAAAGCCAAGTGGGTTACAAAACTCCAAGTTCATGTTTTTGGCAATGAAGTGATTATAAATGTTGCCAGTCAATGCCAACCAGTGTCTGATTTGCTTCCTGTGCATGTCCAATCTCCTCTGTGATACTGTGTTGGTGCCAGAGCTTCTGAATCTTCTGAAATCGCTCTTTGCACAAATGTAAAGGATTTCCCCGTCTAGAAGGAAGACACGTGTCACTCAGGATGCATTCTGTTTATTCACCCAATACAATCTAATCCTTCCTGGTTTGGGAAAGGTACAAGTTATTGGTTTTCGATCCTTGGTCAAATTTCTGTCTGGAAGGTAACTGTAGCTGTTAACAAACACATTTACTCTGAAGGTTTGCTAATAGCAGCTGATGAGGGATAAGGCTGGGACACAGGTCTGGGTTGAGAGGCTAAAATACTCACTGTCCATTTTGTGGGTAACATGTAAAAAGGGAAATAGGGCAGAGGAGGGTGGGAAAGGAGAATTAGAGTGGTAAAAATGTTCCCCAGAGTGCTCTCTTTCATTCACAATCTCATTATAGTAGCCAAATGTGAATATCTGCCAGGTCTAATTTAATGCCTGCCATTAAATTACAGGCTTTGGTGGCTTTAACCTCGGCCCAGGGCCTCAAGGCAGGTCCTAGGTGCCCATCCTCTTCAGAGAAGTGGGAGGAACTGTCATTAGTAGCATATAGTCAAACCCTGCACCAAGCACCTGGGCAAGCTCTTCTAATTACCTTGCCTGTGTTTCCAGGCCTTTAACTTTGGCTACTCAAGCCTGAATGGTAATACCTGGGCTAAAATTTTTACCTTCTTTGGTCCAAAAAGATAATCTAAAAGAAGTTCTTTAATAGTGTTTGGTGAACTGCTAGCGTTTTGCTAAAATGCTATATGATATACTAGAAGCCACCAGAATAGAGTGATAAGCCTAACATGATGTTATATCTTTTTCTGTATGTTCTAATATTTGTTCCTCAGATTCTTATGTAATAAGACAAGCACATGTCTTAGCAATTAAACTCTGTTCTTATATCACCTGGAGATCCCTTGGTCTCCCCTACACACAGCTCAACAAATCAGAACGGGCCATCCCTGTAGTGCTCTGCTGCTGTGGATGCTATGTGGTAATTCAAATGGTGCTTTGGAATGATAGATGGAATCCAGTTACACTATGTTTTCTTCTGTTCCCTTATCTATCCTGATGTTTCTCATGGCATTTTCAAGGCTGGAAGAACAATAAACCAGGCAGCCAGGATGCCCTCTACTTAGAAAAGAGTTCACAGATGACATAGACATCTCTTCCAGAATCCAACCCTGGGGTATGCAAGCTGACTTCATGGTGCTCGCCATGTACTGAAGGCCCTGAGGCCCAGAGTTGCTACCCAGCCCCCCAGGACAGGCCCTTACCTGAGTCCCTGGTCTGTCTCCCCATAGTCATCCAGGTAAGGAGGAGAATAAAAACAGCCTTTGGTTTTGCCAGCTAAAAATAGCACCTGACATTCCCGTACTCTGTAGAGAAATCATTCATATGTTACACATTTATGTTACTAACCAAGGTTTGGATTCAGTTCCAAGTGAAACGAGGTCTTTTAAAAAAACAAATAAATCCAGTTTTAGAAGAAATAGCATCTACAGCAAAGATATAATTAAAAAATATCACCCCCATCTACCTGAGTTTTTTTAAAAATTATTTTTTATTTATTTTTCTTTTTAGATATATAATAGTAGAGTATATTCTGACATATTATACAACATGGAGTATAACATTACAATTAGGATCCCATTCTTGTGGTTATACATGATGTGGAGTTACACTGGTTGTGTATTTATATATGTACATAGGAAAGTTATATGCCTGAGTTTTTAATAAGGCTACAAAGACTGTATTATAATCAACAAAGATTGTATTGCAAATCCACATAAAGACACTGAGGGATAGGAAACGAGGGATCAAATAACACAATTTTAAAAATTGTTAAATGTGAGAAGATAGTAAACTTTTAAACATAAAACGGATATTGTTTTTTGTTTGTTTGTTTTTTGGTACTGGGGATTGAACTCAGGGGCACTCAACCACTGAGCCACATCCTCAGATCACTCTATTTTGCATTATATTTAGAGACAGGGTCTCAGTAAGTTGCTTAGCGCCTTGCTGAGGTTGGCTTTGAACTCACGATCCTCTTGATGTCTCAGCCTCCTGAGTGGCTGGGATTAAAGGTGTGTGCCACTGCACCTGGCCTTTAACCATTATGATGAGGAAATTATTCATTTAAAGAACTGGGTGCAAACACTGATGCAAGGCAACACTCTTTGTACTACTTTCACAAGGGAAAATATTACTTGCACATTTCTCCCACTGGCTATTTAAAAATTGGTCTCCTTATCCCTTGGAAAGATTTGTCTTAGGGCTTCTTTTGCTTTCTTTTTTTCTTTTTCTTTGTTGTTGTTAATAATTCAGCTCAATTCAACAAACATTTATTGAAATCTGCTGCGTATAAGAAATTGTGAGGGCCCTAAGAAGATATTAAGATGATTTAGATATGGATAAAACCTAATCCCCAGAGGAGCTAAGACTCATGACTCTTCTCTGCTTCAAACCATGAAACGGCTTCCATCTCTTTCAGAGATGTCACTAGGACATATCAAGCTGTGATTATATTCCTGTGCACAAATCTCCAGTGATACCAGTTTCCCTGTCTTGAACATGGCAGGAGTGTTCCCACTCAGCACTGTCGACTAGCTATTCCCTGACTAGGTATTCCTCCCTTTTATGTCTTTACTCAAAAGTCACAGTCTTAGAGAGCTGTCCTTGTTCTAGTAGCTAAACTTCAACTTCCCAGCAGGCATTTCATATGCTCCTCTCTGTTATATTTTTTCTTCATAACATATCAACTATCTATAAATTCTTCTCTCATTAGAAAATGAGATCCATAAGGGAAAAAAAAATTTTTTTGGTGAAGTGCTGAGGGTCAAACCTAGGATCGTGTGTATGCTAAGCACATGCTCTACCACTGAACTACACCCCTGGCCCCAGGGTAGATACATCTGTCTGCTTTGCTGACTGCTACAATTTTTGTTTTTTAGTTATAGGTGGACACAATATCTTTATTTTATTTTTATGTGGTACTGAGGATCAAATCCATTGCCTTACGCATGCTAGGCGAGTGCTCTACCTCTGAGCCACTGCTCTAGCCCCTGACTGCTGTATTTTCCATGTCCACTATATAGTAGTTACTAAGTATTTGTTGTATGCTATTGAATGAACAGAACTACATATACCAGTTTATGATGCATGAGCAGAGGTAAAATCAAAAAGTTATGAGGACATAATAGAAGAAGTAGTTCTGACTGGATTTGGGCAGAAAAACAGAAACAGTTGGAAGTTCCACATCATAGAGAAGCATGAAGAAGGTAGAACAAAACTATTATCTGGAGTGAGGGTGGAAGAGGGGAATAGTAAGAGAAATACTAACAAGAGTTGGCAGGAACCAAATATGAGACATAAGAGATCCTTATGTTCCTCAAACAATAAGACAACAGTGGTCTTGAAATTCTCTGCAATGTTCTAATTTGTTTTTTTTGTTTTGTTTTGTTTTAGTGTTGGGGAATGAACCCACAGCTTCACATATGATAGGTTATCAATTACTCTACCACAAGGTCACATCCCCAGTCCTGCAATGTCGTAATTTCTTATGCCAATACCTCAAAAAGCTATAATGCCCCCGGCAGGTCCTTACCTCAGGAAGATGCCTGCACCAGAGCCGCAGGAGTAGGTATGAGCTGTGCAGGCTCCTACATCCTCTCCTTCTAGCTCAGTCTGGCAGCAGTAGCTCTGGGAGCACAGCAGAGTTCCACATACAAGGCACAGAGTTGGGGCTCTGCTTTTATCACCACCTGATTTGGGGCACCTCCACAGGGGAAAAAAAGAAAGTCATTGTTCTGAAAAAGAGTGATAAAAGAGTTAATAGTGAAAAAAACCACCCTGGAAAAATGTTTTATAATATCAAGTGGAGCGCCAAAGATGCATCCTGTAACCCAGATCAAATTATCCCTAGACTAGGGAATGGGGACATCATATGTATATATACACAAAAGTCATGTATGAGAAACACTCAAGGAATCAAAAATCGGAGAAAGGATAAATAAAATCATCAACAGGAGAAAATTGTAAGTTAATTGTGCTATTGTCAAGTAATGAAATACTACAGAGAAGAGCAATGACTTTAAGTTCTATGCCACATGGATAAATCTTAGAAACAATGCCTAGTGATAAATTATGTGGAGTATATACAGTACAATGCCATTTAAAATTTTTTTTTTTAAAAGAGAGAGTGAGAGAGGGAGAATTTTCATATTTATTTTTTAGTTATTGGCAGACACAACATCTTTGTTTTGTATGTGGTGCTGAGGATCGAACCCGGGCTGCACGCATGCCAGGCGAGCGCGCTACTGCTTGAGCCACATTCCCAGCCCATTTTAAATTTTTTTTAAAAACTATTTTTTTAGTTGTAGTTGGACACTATACCTTTATTTTATTTTTATGTGGTGCTGAGGATCAAACCCAGTGCCCCGCACGTACTAGGAAAACACTCTACCGCTGAGCCACAACCTCAGCCACTTTAAAGTTTAAAAAAAAATTTTTAATTAGTTGTTGATGGTTATTTATTTAGTCATTCATTTATTTATGGTGCTGAGATTCAAACCAAGTGCCTTATAAATGCTAGGCAAGCATTCTACCACTAAGCCACAACCCCAGCCCCAGTACAATGCCATTTTAATAAAGCTTGAAACATGTTTAATTTTTTTATATTATTGGATTCTTCAAGTTGCTTATATGTCCAATATTTCATAATATATTAAGAATTATGAGGGCTCTTATTACTTTGGAGTGCAATTATTTGATAATCTTTTGTGAATCAAACTTGCCCCCTACCACCCCATATCCTGTATCTTATTCTGAAATATGGTAGAGAATGGTGCTTTTATAAATTAGGTAATATAAAGTATTTCTGATGTTATGATTTTCTTACCCAAACAAAACAAAGAACAACCAATCCCTCAAATTCTTTCTAGAAAGGTAAATTTTTCCAGTGATAGGGAATGCTTTATGTTCTAGTACCAAAACTTACGAGAAATTGGATGCTTGATTTATGAGGCTGCTGTAATCCTCTGGAAGGTCTATTAATTTGTTAGATTCTCTTGGATAGCTAAAGTAAACACATAAATTTTAAAAATCAATTAATAAAAGGTCACATTATAATGACAATATAACTCTTAACTTAGTTAAAACAAATCAAGGAAGACTAAATCTGAGTAATCACATGTCATCATAGTGGTATAGGCCAGAGTAAGAAACCAAAGATGTATTCATGACACAGTGTCTTAGGGTTCACATTTTTTTACTTGTAGTGCTCAGAACAGCAGCAATGGTACTTAGTATCTGTACCACTTAAGCAAAAAGGTAGCTGTAGAAAGGAGGATAGGGGCAGATGAAGATATTCATTCTCAGCTTCTACCTAAACAATACAGTAATGGACAGCCCAATCACCAAACTTAGGATACTGAATGCAGGAAGGGTATCCTTATTAATGGTGATGTTAAGCTGAAATGAGTGGAACACAGGAAGCAACAGAAGAGCAAACACGTTTTCTTTAGAGATACCAAGCTATGTTGATTCTGTGTTTCAAGTTTATTCTAAAAAAATTCAGATCCAAATCCAACCGGTATTTGAGGGTCCACTCCCAGTATGAGAAGCTTCCATGTGCACACATACATGTCCGCCCAGCATGGTGTAACTGTTCACTACTTTATCTACTGCAAAGACAAGGAGTGAACTTCAACTGAAGAGAAATTACTTTACAGACAGTAGTTCTTAATCCAACCAGAATCATCTGGTGGAGTTCTAGGGAATTAAATGTTAGAGCTCCAATTTGAGAGAAATTAAATTTGATAGATAGTTATTTCAGTATTTTTAAAAAAGTTCCAAGGTTATTCTGATATCTATACCTCAAGTCTATATATTCAGAGTTTCTTGACTATCAGTTTGAACCATAAGAAATTGATAATATTAAACCATTTCTGACTTATAAAATCTTGAATTTCATATGGCTTGACTAGAAATTTTCATATGGTATTATCATTTTTGGATGTGTAGAAACAAATGAATAGAAGTAATAATCTACTCCTCTTTATTTTTATGGATGATGTATTAAGCAGAACAAAGGAAATATTAACAGATGAAGCACAGCTGGCATAAGTGCAGAAGCAAACTTTACTACAAAATCAAACAGAATTAATGCAAAAAGGAATGAATTAAAGACAAAAATAAAAATGGCCATGATTTGAGTTATTGAAGGTAGATGCCAAGCATGTGGATGGAGCCTCATTATACTATTCTTTTTATTTCCTTTTTCATTTGATAGTTAAATATTTATTTAAAGTTAAAATGTCCCAAATCTTTTTTTCCCTCATTATACTATTCTTTATACTTTGAGATAGTTTAAAATTTTCCACAATAAAAGATACACAAAAATACAGCTAAGAAGAACCTAAAAGAGGACCTACATTTTAAAGTGAATATTCCAAAATAATAATCCTGCTATCTTCTTTTTCATCTAGAATAATAAGTATATTTATGTTCTTATTTCTGCATTTAATAAACTCTCATCATTAGATTTAGAAGGAAGTATGAATGCAGGATACTCTACTTCTTAGAATCACTAAAGTTATGGGAAATCAGTTTTGAAAAAATATAATACACCCTGCATGTCTTCCCTACCATCCATCCCAGTCAAGTCTTTGGTCATCTTTAACTTACCTTATTGCATCTCTTTCACTTGCTAGATATCTCTTAACTTCACTGTTATGACACCAACTATAATGTAAATAGGGAAAAACAAAACAAAACAAAAAAATTTAAAGGGTTAGAACTAGAATTTTCCTTCTTTTATAGCCAATAAAAGGAAAATTATCTTTTTTTTAAATTTTTTTTTTAATATTTATTTTTTAGTTTTCGGCGGACACAACATCTTTGTCTGTATGTGATGCTGAGGATCGAACCCGGGCCGCATGCATGCCAGGCGAGCGCGCTACCGCTTGAGCCACATCCCCAGCCCAGGAAAATTATCTTTACATAATATATTTAGTTCATCAAAATAAGCCTGGAATAAGAAATATTCCATGCTTACATAATTATATTATAATGGATTCTACTGTCATGTATAATAAAAAGAATCAATAGAAAAACTGCAATAAGGACTGGGGTTGTAGCTCAGTGGTAGTATGCCTGCCTCACACACATGAGGCACTGGGTTCAATCCTCAGCACCACATAAAAATAAATATAAATAAAGAGTGTATCCATCTACAACTTAAAAATTCAAAAAAAAAAAAAAAGAAAAACTGCAATAAAAGAAAGAAGCCTAGAGAAATATCCCATTTTGCCTCCAACTTTTTAAAATCAGAAGAATATTTTTTAAAAGCAAGAATGGTTAATATATTGAAATTTGCACTATATACCTTTTTTGTTGTTGTATGTTTGGTGGTACTGGTGATCAAACCTAGGGCTTGCACATGCTAGGCAAGTGCTTTACAACTGAGCTACATTTGCAGCCCTTTTAATTACCCCACTAATATGGACATTCTAGAAAAACCAGTTTAAATAATGACAAAATAATATTATCTGAATCTACAAGACCTATATTAAACATTTTTTATTGTAGTAAAACATACATAAGATTATAAATAAGATTTACACACACACACACACACACATATATATATTTTTAAGTATTCTATCAGGAGTGCCCTGAACTACAACCCCAGTCTTTTTAAAAAATTTTTTGAGATAGGATCTTGCTTAGTTGCCAAGGCTGCTTGAACCTGCAATAACTACTTTAAAATGTACCAGTTCTGTGGCATTAAGCACATTTATACCATTGTGCAACTACCAACATGTACCTCCAGAACATTTTCATCTTTCCAAATTAAACTCTGCCCATTAAACATTTCCCTAACTCTTGGAAATCCCCATTTTGCTATCTCATGACTTTGACTATTCTAAGTACTTCATTAAAATGGAATCATCAAATTTGTCCTTTTGTGACAGGTTTACTTCACCTAGCATAGTGTATCCTCTAGGTTCAACCATAACATTCCTCTGTGTATGTGTCCATCACATTTTGTTTATCTATTCATCTGTTGATGAACATTGGGTTGTTTCTACTTTTTGGTGATGATAAATAATGCTGTTATGAACACGGATGTGAAGGTACCTATTTGAGTGCCTGAGTTCAACTCTTCTTCAATAAACACCTTTGGGTGGAATTGCTGGATGGTAGGCAATTCTGTTTTAACTTTCTAAGAAATTGCTATATTACTTTCCATAGTGGCCCTATCACTTTCTGTTCCTACCAGTAATGCACAAGGATCCCAAATTTTCCACATCCTTGCCAACACTTATTTTCTCTTCATAAAAAAGAACAAAACCACTATTCTTTTTTTTTTAATATTTATTTTTTAGTTTTCAGCAGACACAACATCTTTGTTTGTATGTGGTGCTGAGGATCGAACCCCGGCCGCACGCATGCCAGGCAAGCGCGCTACCGCTTAAGCCACATCCCCAGCCCAAAAAAAAACACTATTCTAATGGACATAAAGTGGCATCTTACTGTGCTCCTGATTTGTATTTCTACAATGACTAAGTGTATCTTTTCATATGCTTATTGGCCACTTGTGTATCTGATTTGGAAAAATACCTATGTGTTTTGCCCATTTAAAAAAATAAAATATTCTTTTTAAAATAATTTTTTCAGTTGTAGTTGGACACAATACCTTTATTTATTTATTTAAAAAAATGATCTCTCTCTTTTTTAATATTTTTAAAGTTGTCAATGGACATTTATTTATTTATTTATTTTTAAGAGAGAGAGAGAGAGAATTTTTTTTTTTTAATATTTATTTTTCTTAGTTTTCGGCGGACACAACATCTTTGTTTGTATGTGGTGCTGAGGATCGAACCCGGGCCACACGCATGCCAGGCGAGCGCGCTACCGCTTGAGCCACATCCCCAGCCCGGACCTTTATTTTATTTATTGATATACAGTGCTGAGAATCGAACCCAGTGCCTCACACATGCTAGGCAAGTGCTGTGCCACTGAGCCACAACCCCAGCTCATACCTTTATTTTAGTTATTTATTTTTATGTGGTACTGAGGATTGAACCCAGTGCCTTGCATATGCTAGGTAAGTGTTCTACCACTGAGCTACAACCCCAGCCCGAATTATTATTTTTAAATAATGTTCAATTGTAGGAGTTCTGGCTATTAATTCTTTTTTTCTTTTTTTTTTTGGGGGGGGGGGAGAGGGGGCGGTACTGGGGATTGAACTCAGGGACACTCAACCACTGAGCTATATCCCCAGCCCTATTTAGCATTTTATTAAAGACAGGGTCTTGCTGATTGCTTAGTGCCTTACTTATTTGCTGAGGCTGGCTTTGAACTTGCTATCCTCCTGACTCAGCCTACCAGAACCAGGAGCATGTCTAAGGTGACTTGGACTGGTCTCTGGGAGGCTGAGGAATCCAAAGGAAGGAGGAGGGCGGGCGGGCTGTGGACTGTCCCTCAGTGTGAGTGGAAATCCAGGCTAAAGGTAAGAGGCACCAGCCACCCGCACAGCTGTTCCCTAGGCAGGGAGGAGAGAGGAAAGGGTTTGGGACAGTACAGCTATCCTCCTGCCTCATCCTATCAGGCTGTTGGGATTATAGGCATGTGCCACCACACCCAGCATGGCTATTCATTCTTATCAGATTTATGATTTACACATTTTGTGGGTAGAATAGCCATATATCTTAACTCAGTCACTAATTTCACGGGATTCATAGGTCAATTCCTCTAGACTTCAATGTTTTCAAACACAAAGTGAGAATCTGGACTAGAAGACAATCCTTAATGTTTCTTTTAGCTTTAAAAATCTATGGAACAGAGTCCTTAACAAATAAATTCACATAATGAAATAAGCATTTCAAGCTGGGCCTAATGGTGCATGTTTGTGATCCTCGGAGGCTACAGCATGAGGATCACATTTTTTTTTAATATTTATTTTTTAGTTGTAGTTGGACACAATACCTTTATTTTATTTATTTATTTTTATGTGGTGCTAAGGATCTAACCCAGGGCCTTGCATGTGCTAGGTGAGTACTCTACTGCTGAGCCACAATCCTATCCCTGGAGGATCACATTTTTAAGGGCAGTCTCAGCAGCTCAATGAGAGCCTGTCTCAAAATAAAAAAAGCATTCCTACCATGACTCCCTTTCCATGCAAATCTGTTTATGTTTATTCATTATCCTGGCAAAAACCTTATCCTTTTTAAAAGTCAAATACTTAGCTAAAATGTACTAATTGAACTCAGAGGCACTTAACTACTGAGCCACATCCCCAGCCCTTCTTTATATTTTATTTAGACACAGGCTCTCATTGAGTTGCTTAGTGCCTTGCTTTTGCTGAGGCTGGCTTTGAACTTATATCCTCCCACTCATCCTCCTGAGCTGCTGGGATTACAAGTGTGCACCACCATGCCCAGCATAAAAAAGTACTAAATCTTATAGTACAAATTTTATGTGTTGAATTTTATTGGCTCACTATTTGAGAATTTTGCCATATATGTGAAAAATTAGTTTGTTTCATATAACTATTTAATATAATGAAGAAAAGCATCATGTATAATCATTACCTTTCAATCAGTGAATTCATTATCTCATTATTTTCTTGAAAAAGGCAAATGAGATTGGTTGGTAGGGAAAGGTAGTTACATAAATGTTCAAAATGGCTTAGTCCAGAAACTGCAAATGTAGAAGAAAAGAATAATCATAAAACAACATTCTGCATGGGAATAAGCAACAGCAGAGCTTTAAATAAAAAAATTAAAAAAAGTAAAATCTGAGAGTTCATATTTGTTAGGTATAGAACTGGTAGGTTAACAGAATGGCACATGGAAGGGATTTATGGAAAACGATGCAATGAACAGTAGAATCAGGTGACGCCTACAAAGACTGGTCACAATTTCCTGGCATAGCAGCTATATAAAACATTTGGAAAACAGTGCAGTCGCACAATCTACTTCAGAGGGTTACTGTAAACCTTAAATGACAAAAATAACGTATGGTGTTCTGGAAAAGTTTATAGTAGTACAGAAATATAAAGTGATTTTATTAGGCAGATGCTAACACAGAATAAGGGCAGGGAAGAATAGAAGTTCACTGGATTAGACAAAGAGGAATGAAGGGAAGGGTGTGGAAATAGTATAAATGGGACATAACTTTCCCATGCCCATATATGAATGAACAACCAGTGCAACTCCACATCATGTTCAACCACAAAAATGGGATCCTAACTAGAATAAGTTATACTCCATGTACATGTATCATATGTCAAAGCACATTCTCATGTTGTATATCTAAATAGAATTAAAAAATTAGAAAAAAATTTAAAATTAAAGTGATTGTATCATGAGAGATGACCTTAAATACTAACTCTAATCATAAATAAATATTTTGGATTATTCTAAATGGTGCCTGGGCAACTGAAAGAATAGAGACGCCTGTCAAAAAACCTTTAGACAGTTACATGCAGGCATCCTATGACCAGTGCCAGGTACTATCAGAGCACAGTTACATGAACATTTATACTACTTTTATTAAATAAATTAAAAGAGAACATAGAAAACAACTGAAAGAGCAAATGAATTCCCACCTTAAAATCAAATTTATGTGCAGTAATGGTATTTTGAATTTTAATGCCATACATTTCAAATTAAAAACCACATAAAATTGTTTCACTTTTTAAAATCTGAGGAACACAGTTTTGAACCACACAATCAAACAATTTAATACCTGAAAGGAGAACTACAGTCTTTATGGGAGTGCTTGCAAATGCAAAAATATTTACACAGAAGTTTAAAAGTACATTTAATGAGATTCAAATAAAAAGTAGACAAGAACATAGATAGGGTCTCACTGAGTTGCTAAGCACCTCACCATTGCTAAGGCTGGTTTTGAATTTGCAATCCTCCTATCTCAGCCTCCCAAGCCGCTGGGATTACAGGCATGGTCAGCTTTATTCTAAACTGTGAAAAGAGTACAAATATTTCCTACATTTGAAAAGAAATGAGACATTACCTTGAATGTCAGGTGGGGATGGAACTCCATTTAGGTAATGAAAAAACAACGCAGAGCACTTCAGAAAAGGCATGATCCCAGCTCTGATGCTCTTCCACAGATGCCAGCCAGAAGGTATTTCTTTCAAGGCACTACAACAGAAAATGATTATTAGGAAATCTAGTAAGAAAAGATCATTCTAGTTAAAGCACAGTGTGAAAACAGAACATATATGCTTAGGAGTGGCTTAACAGGCTTGTAGTAGTAACTTTGACTATGACAGGATGCCAACTAGTTATGTAGCCTCCAATGCTGCTACGAAAATTTACAAAAGTAACATAGCCACATAAAAAAAGTCTGGAAATTGAAAAACCATCAACTATTCCAGCATCTTCTACCAGTAGGTATCATGCCAGCAAACTATTTTCATACGAATTTGTCTCATACAATTATAAATGTAACATATGAAATTTAAGATTAACATGCTTTCCAGAACACTACATGCCATAATTTTAATACATTGGCAATATTTTTTTTACATTGGTAATATTTTGAAATGCATTAACCATAACCTACACCAAACTATTCCTCCATATGCAACCATTTAGATTATTTTCAATTCTTGGCTAATGTAAATAGTATTAAAATATATGTCTTTATATACTTATAGACTTTTCTATATGTTGGATTATTTTGTTAGTGTAGATACTCAGAAACGAGACACTGTAGTCAAAGAACAAACATTTTATAGGTTCTCACTGTTTGTTTTTGTGGTGCTGGGGATTGAACCCAGGGCCTTGGGCAGGCTAGGCAAGCACTCTACCAACTGAGCTATATCCCGCCCTAGGTTCTTGACATACAGAGTTAAAAGCTAAGTGAAACTGTTGCACCAAATCACAGTAACTCCAACATCATGTGATGTTTTAATAATTTCACATCATTCCTGCTACTGCTGAATATTACCTTAAAAAAACCCTACCAAGCTAGTTAAATATGCATTCAAATTCCCAATGTGATCATGTGTGTTTTAGAAAAGTACCTCTCCAAAATACATCTATCCAGCACTCTGTGCGTGAGATCCTCCGGGAAAATGAAGGGCTCCACAGACAAATAAATGTGGGAAGCACTATATACGATTACCCTTTTCTAAGATATTTCTAATTATATAAGTATACCCATAGTGCTAGAGATTGTACTCCTGTCTTTTTCTTTTTTCTTCTTCTTGTTTTTTTTTTTTTTCTTTTTTTTTGGTGTGTGTGTGTGTGTATGTGTGTGTGTATGGTACTGGGGACTGAACCCAGGAGTGCTCTACCACTGAGCTATATACCCCCAGCCCTTTTTACTTTGAGAAAGGATCTCACTACATTGTGAGGCTGGCCTTGAATTTTTAGTCCTTTTACCTCAATCTCCTAAGCCACTGGGTTTGCAGGTGTATGCCACTGCAGTAGTCTCTATTCTCTTTTAAAACATGTTAATAGATGCAATTTCTCCTAATTAACAAATACATTCCTTTTTCATGTTGACCCCTACTAATATTTAGTCAATCATATAAAGATTATAATCTCACCTTCCTGTATACTGGTGAATGGTTTTATACAAAGCAAGAACTGCTAATTCTTCTTCACCAGTGGGATTTTCTTGATCCATGCCATTCTCTTCTGAAAGATAAGGAAATACTAGCACTCTGTATTTTCCTACTGTGTTGTCAAATGGAGTGATGATCACATAGGTTAAGCATTTAAATATATTTGTACACTCACAAATAACATAAAGTATTCTCACAAACTATACAGAATTTTAATCCTTCAAAGTGTGAGCACTCCATTGATCTCCACCAGATCAGCAAGCCAGCTGACATACTATGGATGAAATCAGCTAAAGTATCATCCTAAAGGTATGAAAAACCAGGAAGTTTGAATGTAATACATGACTTAACAGTGATTAACAAACATACGAGTGAAAAAAAAGGGGGGGGGGCATTTTAAACATAAAATTCTAAGGGGCTCCACTGTTTTGGTACTCATATGTTGATGAACTTATGAAACAAAAGTACAAACATTTACATTGCTAGGGGATTTTAAAAGGAGAAAGAAATTTGTTTCAAAACTTCTACATGAGAATAAACAGAAAAAGCACAAAACCCAATTTTAATTTATATATTCTCACCCAAAATACTTTTTCCTCTAGTATTATTTTTTTTTAAAGTTACAGATGGACACAATATCTTTATTTTATTTATTTATTTTTATGTGGTGCTGAGGATCAAACCCAGTGTCTGACATGTGCTAGGCGAGCACTCTACCACTGAGCCAGCCCTCCTCTAACATTTTTTAAACTGAGAAAATTCAAGAAGACAAAAAGGAAGAGTTACCTGTACATGAGGTAAGTAAGATCTGTATGATGTGTGCCATAGTAACCAGATGAAAAATGTGGAGGTCTCCAGTGCTGAGGCTGACCCCTGAAAAATCCTGACACTGCAAGGCAGGGAAAGCCAGCACCAAGCCCACCTAGACACCAATGCAGAACATCAGTCAGTGCCTTTCCTCACAGCTAAACACACTCCCATTTTCTTACCATAATCCCTTCTGAGTTTAGGCCCTTCAAGAAAGCTTTTTTGGGGGGATGAGGGTGGAGGCAGGGGAGGTTACTGGGAATTGAACCTAGAAGCACTTTACCACTGAGTTACAACCCAGCCTTTTTTAAAAAATTTTAAAACAAGGTATCACTAAATTGCTGAGGCTGGCTTTGAACTCACAATCCTCCTGCCTCAGCCTCCTGAGCCACTGGACTTACAGGCTTGCACCACTGCCCGACACAAAAAGCTTATTATTAATGGAAATAAAACACCTGAAATTTTTCAAGGGAGGAAACTGTGGAAAAAGTATGAGCTTTGGGACAACTTAACACCTCCGAGCATCAGTTTTTCTACTGGTAAACTTGAGATAAGAAATTTGGAATAAAGCAATAGTAGGGATTGAGGACAAACCTGAGTGTATGTGAAAACAGGTAGGTACACAATAAATGCTAGTCCCCTGCTGCTGGTATGGTGCTGCCAACAATGGTGTTTGCAGTAGCAGTGGAAATAATAACAACAGCTGACATTTTAGGTTTATATTCCTTAAAATGTGTCTATAGTCCTTAAAATATAATCTGTATATAGATTAACCCATGAAGTTCTGAAATACTGATGAATCTAGAGATTACGGGGACAACACTTGGGCTGCACTATGTGACAGTGCACTCTGGAACCTGTGCAAGGCAACCCACCTGAGGTGGGGGCTGATATCTGGCCACCTACTGCTTGGCCAGCTATGCGTCCTGGTACCACACTGCACTTGCTCAGTAGCTGTCTCTCTCCCTGAATCATAAAAAGGAACTGTCTGTAGGCGGGCCTGCGACCCACTGGCAGAAGAGGAGCAGCCGCCTGCTGAGAGGCTGAGCCGCCCCC